GACATCTATGACCAGAGCTCTGCTAAACAAAAAGCCCCATTCAGAAACAATCTCTAACTCCTTTCAGCCAAAACTTCGTCGGGGGTAATTGTAGTTTGCTCCCAAACCAGAATTTGAGAAGGTCTCACAATTCCCACTTAAGGCCTTGGTCAGCCAGCAAACCCACTGGAAACCGCACGTCAGCAAACTACAGTCCAAGAAGCAGCTGTGTCAAAGTGGGACCTTCTTGCTGCAGCCGTCCATCCCAAGTGTGTGCACAGTCTTATTCACTGACTGTGCTGGCTACCGGGCATGCGAACGACTTCTCATTCCTGTTGGCGCTGCAGAGTCTGCCCAGGGAAGAGGCAGCAAGCGGGGGTCCAGCTGGGCATGTGCATCACCAGAAGAATGGCCAGCAGAGCTCTGGTTGCTCCTGTCTTTAGTGGGACTGATGCACAAAGCAGGAAGAAGCCAGCGTGGCTCTCAGGGTGAGGGAGCAGGGCTAGCTGCTAGCAATACACTTGTTATACCTGCAGGAGGAGCAGACTTGCTGTGGGCCCCCACAACGGTGATCAATATGGAGCCCCCCCAAACAGTGTTGCCATGTCATGTGATTTATTGTGACTCTCATGATATTTTGTGGTTCTCTTAAAGACCCAGTTCCTGAAGTCACGGGCTGATGTGAGAATCTGACCTCTCCCTGTACACACACGTACACACACACACACACACACACACACACACTTTGAAGGCTCAGGCACGAGAAGGCAAAGAAAAGGACTCTCACATTTATCAGTTTTACAACTCTCATGGTTTTTCAGCCTGCCCTGATGTTTAGCTGGGCCTGACTCATGGTTTGTGAATGTGCACAGTGGGCCAGACTGAACAGCCAACATGAGTCACTCTTTGGATTAGCACCATGCTTCACCACATGCCCCACCACAATAACAAACACATTTCTAATAAAAACTCAGCAGCAAACTGCTCTCCAGAGCAACGGGGCTGCGAGGTGAAACCCGGCCCCCTCAGGCCTCAAACCCACCTTCCCAGCCCAGGTGGCATGGCTCCTTCCCCACTCTGGCACAATAAATGCAGAAGTGGAGGCCAGCAATAGTACCCCAAAAATCGTATCTACCAGGCTTTGTATAAAACTTCCCCCCAAAATCTTAACAACCTAGACTTTGGGGATAAAAAAAAACTCTGCTGCCACCACTCAAGTATTGATAAGAAAATCAGGGGAGAGATCCCTTGGGAAATCTCACCCCCAGAGTACAAACCAGGACACAACCATTACCCAATACCAGGTTAATAAAAAGGAAAGAGAAAGAACTTTTATTATCACCACACTATTCCTGTTGCAAGCATAATGACTAGATGGAAAAGTAAAAAAGAAATACTCATGGGCTACGTCTACACTGCAGGCTTCTTGCGCAAGAACTGTTTTGCGCAAGAGTTCTTGTGCAAAAGGTCTTCCACAAGAGCACGTTCACACTGCCATGTGCTTTTGCACAAGAGCGTCCATGGCCGTGTGGATGCTCTCTTGCGCAAGAAAGCTCTGATGGCCATTTTAGCTACAGGGCTTTCTTGTGCAAGAAATTCATGTTACCTGTCTACACTGCCTTCTTGTGGAAGAGCTCTTGCGCAAGAGGGCTTATTCCTCATGGGCAGAGGAATAACTCTTCCGGAAGAAGCCCTGTTTTCCAACGCTGGCCTGTAAATTTACTTGCGCAACAGTAGACGTGCAGTGTAGACGCTCTGCAAATTTTTGCACAAGAACAGCTGTGTAGACATAGCCATGGAGAAACTCCACCATGGGCCTAGAACTTAGTTACAAAGGGAAGCCAAAACATTTTTTAAAAGTGCACAGATATCAGATCCCATTTCCCAAACCATAAAACAGTAAAACCTAATGGACTGATCTAAACGTTACCCTACTCACAGAGGAGCGAAGAGTTGCTTCTTGGAGAGAGAGAGAGAGAGAGAGAGAGAGAGATGTCTGTCTCCCTCAGTAGCTGGAGGGAACCGCCCAGGGAAAAAGGAGGGAAAAAAACAAAAATTCTTTGTCCCAGTTTGAAAGTCCTACCTACATTCCTATTGACTGCCTGCCACCTGGTTTAGGTAAGGGACATAGTTAACCCTTAGTCCCCAGGATGCTGGCTAACCCTCATGATCATGATACCAGGAAACAGCGCTCTTGAGAAAAGAGGTAGCTAACTGATAGCTGGCTCAACTTCATGAGGCACAGAGATCAAGGGAGCTACAAATGCCCAGTTTTGGCAACAAAAACCTTCCACCTCCACTAGGGACTTTTGTGTCGTCTCCCTGCCCCTTACCAGAGTGTACTAAAGCAGGGGTTTTCCTGAGTTTACTGAACTCCAGCATGTATCCCGCAATGTCCGGTTCGCGTCTGGCCAGAGCTTTGAACTCTGCTGCTCTGCACAAGTAAACAGATGTGCCCCTCCCAGCTCCAAACCCTGGGAACTTTAAAATCCATTTCCTGGTGTCTGATTCCTTCTGCAGTGCTCCTCCTGGCGCCTTCCCCAAGACACAGAGGTGCTGTTGGGTCAGACTGGCAGCCCTGCACAGGGCTGGCAAAGCCACTGCTGATCCCAGGAGCTGCTAGCACTTCTGAGGCCACTTTCAGTCCCAGGCAGGGCTGCCGGCTCCCCCACGCGGAGGCCTGGCAGGGCTGGAGCAGCCAGGGCTGCTCCCCAGGTATTGATTAAGTTACCTGGTAAGCATCACCTGTTAATGTGATGGTTACACATTCGCATCCCTACTCACTAGCACTTGGCACTCAGTGCTCTTCAGCCAGGTGAGCAGGAAAAGGCCTGGGAACTTCTCATTGTTCGTTTCCCGCTGGAGTGGCATGGAGAGCTCCCAGCGCGTGGGGCATGGCTAGGGTCACACGCCCCCCGCATGCAGCGGGCAGGAGACAGTGCATCCAATTGCTGGGGCCAGGGGGAGTTTGCTGAAATCTAGGCCAAGATGGCACCGGGCCTGGCGGACACGGGCAATGCCAGGGCCATGCCGTGCTGCCCTGTGGAGACCAAGCCTCTCAGATCTGTGGACGGAGCACAGGGCAAGGCAAGTTCTGAGCTGCAGACTCGCCCCCAGAACAAGGGTCCCCCCGGGCCCCACTAGGGACGCTGAAATGACCGGTCAGTGGGTCCCCGCAGAAAGTGGCAGAGGCAGCAGCACATGGGGGAGCTGCGTGTAACCCCGGCTAACTGGCTAACTCTTGACACTTCCACACCCGCAGTCCCGGCCCAGGACGGGATAGCTCCCCCAGCGACCACGGCCGGGGGCTAAGCTGAGTCCCGACAACCCCGGCCGGCTGACCCGCCCCAGCACATCACATGCTCAGCGTCCCGAGAACGAAAATCACCCTAACTAGGGAGCGCTGACCCGGCCTCGCCAATCCGGAGTCACTCCCCTACGTGCCTCATGTAGACGTGCCGGGGGCGGAGCCTCAGGCCCTGGCCCCGCCCGGCGGAGCGGCCCCGCGCA